CAGAGAAAGAAGCTTCGGTGAAGGCACCATCTATCTTTTAGGAGCTTTATTATCTGTTTTTCACTTTCCTTGTAATCACCAAAAATGAATGAATGAAAATGAAATTTTCCTTTGTATTTGAACTACGTAGGGCTTGAATTCTCCTTGGGAGATACGTAGGCAGCCTTTCAAGGCCCGACCCCTATCTTTTAAAATTTTCTTTTCATTCTACAAGGAAACATTGAATTCACATCAGCAGATGCCCAGAGATGCAGCAAGAAGACCTTAGCTCAACACAATTTAACCTTTCTGAGTCACTAGCCTCAAAATAAAATGAGCAAATTCCTGCTTGTTCAAAAGTCAGTCCCCATTATTCGTGGGTTAACATGTTCTCAGACAAAACAACTTTTATGTGTTTATCTGCTTTCTATGTGATATCTTGCATTATTCATCAAGAACTAATACTGACAGATTTGCCTTTGAGTTGTTTTTTTTCTCTACAGGTAGTTAGAACTGATCTGTGTTGATACACTGGCTGAACACCCCTATTTTACCAAATCAAAAGGGCCTACAGATTCCTTTCCCAGTCAAAGTTCACAAAAAGGAAAATTAGTAATGGGTGATAACAACGAAGAAACCGACCTTACTGATGTCGTGGTGGCTCAGCTTGTCCTTGCCGACCAGAATGAACTGATCCTGCAGTTGATGCAACAAATTGCTGAGATAAGGGTCGAGATGCAGAGAAAATAAGATTTCCCTCCTCCGATTTTTGTCGTCAACACTCAACCAGACGGATGACCTCCCGCTCAAATTCCCCATCCTAATGTGGAACAAGCTTAAAACCCGCCTTCAAGTCCTGCTCGTAATCCCTCCATCATTGACCTTACCGCCCAAAACCCCCATTACGCCTCAACCTCTTATCAAACACCACCCCCTCCTCAAAATACAAACCTCAAAGCACCACTCCCTCCCCCTCATGCAAACCACACAGCCAAAACTCTAATAACCCACGCACGTCTCTCCTTCACCAAAACCAGTATACCAGCCCCAAACCTACCCCCAAAACTATCACGCCCCTTTAAATGGCCAGAGTCCATCCATTTCTCCACCTTACCTCCAAAATCCACTTTCCAAATACCGGTCTCCAATGAGCATGAAGTCCATGGTTTGGAGCTCGACCACTATGAGGAGAGGGAGAGAGAGTGGAGGTCAAAGGAAGAGACCGCTAAGATAGATATGAAGGAGGAAATTAGAAAAGCCATGAAGGAGTTGAATTGCATTCCTGAGGTCGCCGGTTTGAGTTACGAAGACCTGTGCATTCATCCAAATTTGGACCTCCCGGAAGGGTTCAAGGTGCCAAAATTCGACATCTTCGGAGGGACGGGGAACCCCTTAGCACACCTGAGGGCCTACTATGACCAACTCGTGGGAGTTGGGAGAGACGAAGCTTTGTTGATCCGGCTTTTTAGCCGAAGTCTGAGCGGAGAGGCTCTAGAATTGTTTACATCTCATGAAAAGAGACAAAGGTCTAGATGGAACGCTCTGGCTGAGGACTTCATCAAACGATTCACCTACAATGTAGAGATCGTTTTTGATCGTTACTCCTTGGAGAAGATGAAACAGAAGTCGACCGAAAGTTACAAAGAATTCGCATATAGATGGAGAAAGGAGACAGCTAGAGTTCGGCCTTCTATGTCTGAAAAGGAAATTGTCGAAGTATTTATGCGGGTTCAAGAGCCCGAATATTATGATAGAATTATGTTGCTCGTTAGAGCAAAGTTTGCTGAGATAGTCGAGACTATCGAAGATGGATTGAGAACCGGGAAGATCTCTCGTGTTACTGCCTCGCCCGGATCCTCGGGTTTGTTGAAAAAGAAAAGAGAATATGTGTCTTCTATCTCTTACGAGGGGAAGAAGACCCTAAGGAAATCCTTATCATTCCAAGGTCGTTCTCGACCTTCACAGAGTTCGTACCCGGCTCGTTTTGCGCCAGATGATTACCAAAGTACCCCCTCCCCTAGTTATCAAAATACCCGTCCTCCCAATTATCAAAATACTCCTCCTCTTAGCTGCCAAACTCCCCCTACTACCTACCAAACTCCCTCTCCAGTTTACCAAACTCCACCTCATCACTACCGGAACGCCACCCCCAATTGTGCCCACGTTTAGAAAAATTACCAAACGCCTCCCCCAATGTACCAAACTCCAGCTCCACTTTACCAAAATACCCCCTCGAACTACCAAGCTCCATAACCAAATTATCAAACGAACTCATATCCCAGATATCAAGCCCCCCGTCCGAATGCTCCAAATTATCGCAAAATGCCTCCCTCTCAACAAGGAAATTACGATCCCTCCCATCCTAGATTTGAGAAGAAGCCTGGTAGAATTTTCACTCCGCTTATTGAAAGCCCAACAAATTTGTTCGAGCTATTAACTGCGGCAGGATATATTCATCCAGTAGGGCCCAAGTCGGTTGACACTAGCTCAATGTTTTACATACCTGATCAGAGGTGCGCGTATCACTCCAACAGTGTTGGACATGATACCAAGGACTGTATCAACCTGAAGCATAAGATCCAAAACCTGATTGACCAGAATGTGGTCTCTCTTCAGACAGTTGCGCCCAATGTCAATAGTAATCCTTTGCCAAATCATGGAGGCGTCACTATCAATATGATAAAGACAGATGATGATTGGTGCGTAACCAAGGCAATAGTTCCGATCGCTCCTGATGAGCTAGAAAGGGTCGTAGCTTCATTGAGCATTAGAGAGAAGAAAGAGTTTGTGATTCTGACACCTGAGAAGGTTGTTGCCTTAGTGCCACGAGAAACTCTTACCTAACCAAAGTTTGTGATTGAAACGGTTGTTACCCAGGGTATGACCAGATCCGGTAGGTGCTACACACCGGAAGAGTTAGCTCAAAGAGGGCAGAAGAAGGACCAAACAAAAAGGCCGATCAGTGAAGCCGAGGCCGAGGAGTTCTGGAGAAAAATGCAGCCGAAAACACCGGCTCAGATTTTTGTATGGGTTTTGTTGATGAGTTCACAGTTGCATAGACAGGCTCTGATGAAGGCTTTTGATGACACTTACATACCCGTGGGAACTAATAGCGACAATCTAGCAGCCATGATAAACCAGGTCATTCGAGGAAACCGAATTAGTTTTTGTGACGATGAGCTGCCCATTGAAGGCAGGATGCACAAGAATGCTCTGCACGTCACCACTATGTGTCGAGATAAGATAATAAATCGCGTATTGGTGAATGACGGATCCGGTCTTAATATTTGCCCACTTTCGACTCTGAGGCAGCTGAAATTCGACCTGGGAAAGCTTCACCAGAACCAAGTCAATGTGAGGGCTTTTAATAGAGTGCAAAGAGACACATTGGGTGCGGTAAACTTGGATATTCAGGTGGGTCCTGCAGAATTTAACGTGGAGTTTCAGGTGTTGGATATCAACACCATTTACAATTTGCTTCTAGGAAGACTGTTTATCCACATGGCTGGCGCTGTGCCATCTACCCTTCACCAACTAATGAAATTTATTTGGAAGGACCAGGAATTGGTCATTTATGGTGAAGGGAGCCATTCCAATTGGTATGCACCAATCGTTGATGATGTCTCTCGAGGTTGCGATTTTTACATGGTGGAGCTGGTAAATGCCACCGGTGATGACTTGGCTCAACAACCTCTTATGCCTGCCATGTAAAAGATGATTTCTACTGTCATGCTCTAGAATGGTTTTGAACCAGGTTTCGGATTGGGGAGGTATTTCCAAGGAATTGTCGAGCCTATTCAAGTTCCCGCCAGAAGAGCAAAGTTTGGTTTGGGATATGTCCCAACAGGTGACGAAGCAGAGATGAAGAACAAGAATGTTGATCAAGCATTGGCCAGGCTAATTCCTCATCTGTACCAGTCATTTCCGGTACAAGAAAATGTCAACGATGGTGGTCTCGAGGAAGGAATCTGAGGCTTTTTTGAGGAGATTGATGCGGTTATCGAGGAAGAGCCTGGGACATCAGGCATCCGTGATGCAGAACCTGAGGAGCAATTGCAGAACTGGACCTCCACACCACTCCTGATTTCCCGCTCAACTGGGTAGAAAAGACATGTGTCTTTGTTTATTTTAAAATCGGTGATAGTCCGAAAGAGGCCCGAGATCCACCCTTTATGCAGTTTTATTTGTTTGAGGTTTTTAAATTCCCTTGTGACGTTTAAAAAAGAAAAATGGCCCTCGGCTATGGCTAAAGTTTGTGCTTGTTTTTTCAATTTAAATGAAAGCCTCTTTTATCAAAAAATTATTTATTTATCTGTTTATATTTTACTTTTCTAACTTTGTTTGTTTATGATTTCAGTAATAATAATTTTAAACCTTCCAATGTCATGTCATGTCGTGAACCGAGTGAACAAAATGAGGCAGGTGATGATGAATGCGAGGAATATGGAGAAGAAAATAAGGTACCCAAACATGTTGCCGAAGAATTTCGGCAATTTGAGAATCAACACAAGCCAAATTTGGAAGAAATCGAGATTGTGAATCTCGGAGATGAGGAGTGTGTCAGAAAAGTCAGAATTAGTGTCCATTTGATCGAAACTCAAAGAAGGGACCTAGTTCATTTGCTTAGAGAATACATTGATGTATTTGCCTGGTCATACAGGGATATGCCAGGGCTGAGTACGAATATGGTGTCCCACAAGTTGCCGATCAATCCAGATTTCAGTCTAGTAAAACAAAAGACTTGGAAGTTCAAGCCTAAGTTGAGTTTAAAGATCAAATAGGAGATTACAAAGTAGATCGAGTCCAAAGTAGTGGAAGTGACGCAGTATCCGACTTGGTTAGCTAATGTTGTTCCGGTTGCCAAGAACGACGGAAAAATCAGAATTTGTGTCAGAGATCTCAACAAAGGTAGCCCGAAAGATAATTTTCCATTGCCAAACATTCACATCCTCATTGATAATTGTGCTAAGCATGATATGCAGTCGTTTGTGGATTGTTATGCGGGTTATCACCAGATCCTGATGGATGAAGAAGATGTAGAAAAAACAACATTCATCACACCCTGGGGTGTATATCACTATCCAGTGATGCCTTTTGGTCTCAAGAATGCTGGTGCTACTTACATAAGGGCTATGACGACCATCTTTCATGATATGATTCACAATGAGATCGAGGTTTATGTAGATGATGTCATAATCAAGTACCGTGAGAGTTTGGATCACTTGACTCACTTGAGGAAATTCTTTGATCGTCTACGTCGATACTATTCGAAGTTAAATCCCACCAAATGTGCTTTTGGAGTGCCAGCTGGCAAGTTGTTGGGATTTATAGTCAGCAGGAGGGGCATTGAGCTTGACCCTTCCAAGATCAAGGCGATCTAAGAATTACCTCCTCCAAAGACCAAGAAAGAGGTGATGAGTTTTTTGGGAAGGTTGAACTACATCAGCCGGTTCATAGCTCAATCCACCGTGGTGTGTGAGCCCATCTTTAAGTTATTGAAAAAAAATGCCTCGACCAAGTGGACTGGAGAATGTCAAACTGCTTTTGATGCCATCAAGAACTATTTGTCCAATCCACCGGTGTTGGTCCCTATGAGGCTCGTTACACTCTGTTGGAGAGGACATGTTGTGCTTTGACTTGGATTGCTCATAAGTTAAGATATTATTTGTCTTCTTATACCACATACCTTATTTCTAGGATGGACCCGTTGAAGTACATTTTCCAGAAAGCAATGCCGACCGGGAAGTTGGCTAAATGGAAAATGTTTTTGAGTGAGTTTGACATTGTGTATGTGACTCAAAAGGCGATAAAAGCACAAGCCTTAGCTAATCATCTTGCGGAGAATCCAGTTAATGAGGAGTATGAGTCGCTCAAGACTTATTTTCCTGACGAGGAAGTTTCATTTGTGGGTGAAGATATTTATGAAGCCTACCCTGGTTAGAGAGTATTCTTTGATGGAGCGACGAATCACCAAGGAAAAGGTATCGGAGCAGTCTTAGTATCAGAATCCGGTCAATACTATCCTATGGCAGCTAAACTCCAATTTGATTGCACGAACAACATGGCAGAATAGGAAGCTTGTATCCTTGGTTTGAAGATGGCCATCGACATGAATGTTCATGAGCTTCTGGTTATTGGAGATTCAAATTTGTTGATTCATCAGGTTCAAGGAGAATGGGCCGTGAAGAACACAAAGATCACACCATACATGCAGTATATACAGAAGTTGTGCAAAAGATTTCACAAAATTGAGTTCTGACACACTCTTTGAACATAAAATGAATTAGCCGATGCTCTTGCCACCATCGCGTCAATGATTAAGCATCTAGATACATTTTATATTGATATAGAGGATATAGAGGTAAAAGAACAACTTGTCCATTGTTCACATATTAAAGCGGAACCAGATGGTTTACCCTGTTATTTTTACTTCAAGAAGTACTTAAAGACCGGAATTTATCCTAAGAATGCGACATTCAATCAGAAGAAGTCGATACGCCGTACAGCCCTCAATTTCTTTGCAAGTGGGGAAATCCTTTATAGGAGGACTCTAGATTTAGGTGTTCTCAGATGTGTTGATGCTAGTAAAGCTGCAAAGATTCTGGAACAAATACGTGCCGGAGTTTGTGGTACTCACATGAATGGACTCACTTTGGCAAGAAAGATCCTCCGAGCCGGTTATTTTTGGATCACTATGGAGCATGATTGTTGCAAATTTGTGCAGAAATGTCACAAATGTCAAATGCCATGAGTTCACCTTGGCCATTCGTAGATTGGGGCATGAATGTCATTGGTCCAATAGAGTCGGCGCCTCTAATGGACACAGATTCATTTTGGTTGCTATTGACTACTTCACCAAGTGGGCGGAAGCAACTTCGTATAAGTCGGTGACCATGAAGGTTGTAGTTGATTTTGTTCGTAACAATTTGATATGTAGGTTTGGAGTACCAGAATCCATCATTACTGATAATGGAGCGAATATCAACAGTCACTTGATGAGAGAGATATGCGAACAATTCAAGATTACCCATCGAAACTCAACCGCTTATCGTCCCCAAATGAATGGAGCCGTAGAAGCTGCCAACGAGAACATAAATAAGATTTTGAGGAAAATTATTGATAATCGCAGAGGTTGGCACGAGATGTTGCCATATGTTTTGTTGGGTTACCGAACGATTGTCGGAATATCAGTTGGAGCTACTCCATATTTGTTAGTATATGGAACAGAAGCAGTTATACCTGTCGAAGTTGAGATACCATCATTGAGAATCATCCAAGAAATTGAATTGAGTGATGTTGATTGGGTTCGCAAGCGGATTGATCAATTAACACGGATTGATGAGAAGAGAATGGTTGTTGTTTGTCATGGACAACTGTATCGACAGAGAATGATTCGTGCTTTCCACAAGAAAGTAAGAGCCAAAATGTTTTAGATTGGTCAGTTGGTTCTCAAACGCATTTTCCCTCATCAGGATGAGTACAAAGGGAAATTTGTTCCAAATTGGCAAGGGCCCTACATGGTTCGGAAAGTGTTATCTGGAGGTGCCTTGATCTTGTCGGAGATGGATGACACCAAATGACCGAAACCAATCAACTCAGATGCTGTCAAGAGATACTATGCGTGAAGTTTCAGTTTGTATTCCTGTCATTTCCTTGTAATCGTTCCATTTGCTTGTAATCGCTTTGTTTAAAATTTTATCCCTTTTGTAACGAACTACGTCTGACCTGAATTCTCAAGAATGAGATACGTAGGCGGCCTATGTAGGCCTTGGTCACCCTTTTATCCATTTTAAATATTTCCGTTTGTATTTGAACTACTTTCGACCTGAATTCTCAAGAATGAGATACGTAGGCGGCCTATGTTGGCCTCGGTCAGTTTCTTTGTAAATTTCTTATTTCGTTAGTCTCTGAGGGGAACTACGTTTGACTTGATTTCTGCTCAACGGGATACGTAGGCGCCACAACAGCTCGGTCATATCTCCCGTAAGATTTCTATTTTTTCCTTAAAATAGAAACTAGGACAGAATTTTTGAGCGGAACTCAAAAATTCTCAAGAAGAAGATCTCTCCAACAAAGTCGAGACCGAAGCTACCTTGAGATTTGCAACTGAGACAGAATTTTTGAGAGGATCTCAAAAATTTCGTGATTTTCTCACCAACGGTCAAAGATAAGCCAAGATAGTTAACTGGGACAGAAATTTTGAGGATGACCTCAAAATTTCATCAAGGTTCATTGGAAATTTGGAACAACTTTGAATACTTCCCAGCAAACAATCAGATGATCCTCAAGGCATCAACTCCAAATGACGTTCATTAAGCTTGACGTGACATGACACTAGGCAGTGACCTTTCCCAAATACTACTTTTCAAAAATCTATTTTTCTTAAAACTTTTCCTTCATGTTTCAATTATTTTTGCACAAAAATGTTGTCTTATCTACAAGAAACGGAAGATCGGAGAAATTAACCGGAGATAGCAAGACAAGGAGTAGACAACCGAAAAGATCGACACAGATCAGTTCATGTTTAAGCTAACAATTTTTCTGTGTGTTCTTCCATTCAATGAATATGGAGAAATCAAAAGGGCGAGAGCTCCCCAAAATTGACAATTTTTCTGTGGATGCAGGAAATATTTTATGTTGCTTATATCAAAGATTTTGGAATATGAATAACATTATTTCATTTAATTCCCAACAAGGCGAAGTCCATAATGAATGTACAACTATGTTCAGAGATGGAACGAACGAAAGCTGCGAAGAGATTAGTATTATTATTTTCCAACGACTAAAAGATATCTGGAAGACGTTTATCTTCATTATATTATCAGATATGATAATATCTCCCAACCGAAAGGTTATTTATATTGTATTGTCAAATGAGATGATGCCACTACTCCAATGGTCATTTTTTATTATATTGTCAATTGAGACGATACCGCCACCCAGAAGATACCCACAAAATCACCTATGTTGTCCGGTGAAGCATTATCTTTGTTCGGTACTAGGGATGGCATCATCATAAAGGAAGATCATGCATTGCAAGAGAAAAAAATTATGCATTGCGGTAAAAGATCCATGCATAGCAGGAAAGAAGTCATGCATTGTGGGAAAAGATTCATGCATCGCGGGAAGAGATTCATGCATTGCAAGAGATAGTTCATGCATCGCGGGAGAAGGAATTCATGCATCGCGAGAAAAGATTCATGCATTGCAAGAGAATGATTCATGCATCGCGGGAAGAGACTTATGCATTGCAAGAGAAGATTCATGCATCGCGGGAAAAATATTCATGCATTGCAAGAGAAAGGAGTCATGCATCGCGAGAAAAGATTCATGCATTGCAAGAAAAGATTCATGCATCGCGAGAGAAGATTCATGCATTGCACGAGAAAAGAGTCATGCATTGCAAGAAAACGGGTTTTGCATCGCAAGAAAAAAAATTCATGCATTGCAAGAAAAGATTCATGCATCACGAGAGAAGGGTCATGCATTGCAAGAGAAAGAGTCATGCTTCGCAAGAGAAAGATTTACCCATCACAAAAAAATCAACATTAACTGCATCACTTTTCTCTGCAAAAACAACATCAAGAGAACCGCCAACAACGACATCAAGAGAACTATCAACATATTACATTAACCTATTTTATTACTTCGACTTCAAAGAAAGAGTACATTGATTATATTGCAAACATGAGACACAAGCTTTATTTGCTTTACGTCAAAACCGACGGAGTTGACGTCAAATGTTCAAGGAGAGCAATTAAGTGTCAACACGATAAAAGATACCATCTCTCCATTTGAATTGCATTTTTATGCTAATGAGTTTCATCTCAGTCTTTGTCGAGAGCAACCGAAATGATGAATTCTTAAAACAAACCACAGGTGTGGACGACATCAAAAGGGATGCAGCACAACGTGAAGCTTTTTCTTAGCAGCAAAATGGGACATAGTCCAAATAGGAGTGTCAAACTCTTAGGACGCGAGCAGAGGAGAGACTTCCACCACAATCAAACCACACCCCTATCAAAAGGCATGTGAGTTTTTCTTTAGGTGTCCTGGTTTCAATTTCGCATCCGGAAATTTTCGGTCTCCACCGGAGGCATCTTTCCAATCCGAGTGGCAATGCTCTAAGAGCTTTGGAAATTATGTCTGTGTAAGTTCTTAATTATGAATGTGAAGCATGCCACATTCATGGCTAAGAGGTTGCAAGCCTTTTTTTCATACTCAACTAATTCGTCACTCTCCCAGAACTGAAGGATATCTTAGCATAATAGATTTCCTTTTCAATCGATAGAGTCAAACTACAAGCATCCTGATTCCCTGAGTTGAGAGATTGTAGGCGGGATCAGTGTTGAAAACTCGGTTGTATTTTGACATTCGCTGTTAAATTTTATTTCCGAGCATTCTGGTGCCTTCATAATTCGATATCAAGATGACTTTTGAATCTTTCAAAATCATGCGTGAAATGAAGCGTACCAAACTAAAAGTGGCCTGAATTCTCATATAGCCTAAGATATGTAGGAAACCCACTTCCGGGGTTCGGCCATAATTTCTAAAGTCCGCACAAAAATCCCTTTACATAGAAGATGAAGATGTGGTCAGTCAAAATTAGATTCGTCAATTTTATTTGCCTCGAATTTCTTTCATCAATCCAAGTCAAATGGGAGACAGTTGTTGACACCCAATTTTGGACCTCCACAATACAAATTTATCATCGAGCTTCTTAAATTCCAAACGATTTGAAATAATTAGTTTTTATTAAGTTCAAAATATTTTTCAAGTTACCTTTAATTAATTTTATTGTTTTTATAATTTTTAAGTAATGTATATGTTTTATATAATTTCGTATATAATTAGTATATTTCATAAACATTTCAAAAATCATCTCAATTTTTTTTAAAATTTTGGTAAGTATTTTATTAAATTAGTTTAGTTGAAATTATGGTTATAATTTTGAATCATTAGTTTACAATTATGTTAATTATTTTATTTCGTTAAGATTAAGAAGCTCATTAATTAATTTATGATAATTCATCTTATTTAATTTTTTAATCGAATTCACTAATTAACTCGAGTTGGCTAGGTCCTTAATTCAATGGCTATAAATTGCAATTTTAGCCAATTTCCCTAACCTTGTCTTCACTCTTTGTAAGACCCATTTTGGGCCTTGCATTCCCAACTTTCAGCCCACTAACTATTACAACAATAACCTCTGCCCAACACTCTTATAACAAAATAATTCCCAGCCCATTCCCACAAAGACCCACCCCATATAATACTTACAGCAATATCAACAACTCAACAATTCCCATTCTCCAATAACCCAGCCCATTATCAACAATCCAAAATTCCAGCAACATGCGTACAAAAACAACCGACAACGTACACCCCAAACCGACCCCTATACATTTCACCCTTCTTCTTCACGCAGAAAATGACCAAAAACAAGCCAGCAACTAAGGGTGGCACGGAACCGGTAACGGGACTACCGGACCGGGACGTTTCGGAAAAAAATCCGTGTACCCGTCCCGGACCGGACCGGACCGGAAACCGGATCCAACCGTTATAAATTATAGTATTTTTATTAAAATTAAAAAATTAGATTACACTTAAAAATTTATACTTTTAAAGTTTTAAATACAAACTTTCAAACTTTTAAAAGTATAAAAGTTTAAATTTCACAATTTCAAACTTTGAAAATTTAAATTCAAACTTTAAAACTATAAAAGTTTAAATTTCACCCTTTAAAAGTTTGAAAATTTAAATTCAAAGTTCATATTTTAAAACTATAAAAAGTTTAAATTTCACACTTTAAAAGTTTGAAAATTTAAATTTAAATTTCACACTTTAAATTTTAAAAGTTTGAAAATTTAAATTCAAACTTTAAAACTATAAAAGTTTAAATTTCACAGTTTAAAAGTTTGAAAATTTAAAACTTTAAAACTATAAAAGTTTAAATTTCACACTTTAAAAATTAAATTTGAACTTTTGAAGACAATAATAAAAAAAATTAAGGCGAATAGCCTATACTTTTATTAATATTAATTAAATAGTACAAGTTGAGTTACAAAATATTAGTAGAGTATTAAAAAATCTAATCTACACAGCCACCTTCTAGGAACGGTTCTGTTTGAATTAGACCTCGAATTATTATACTCATACTAATAGACATTTAAATTTAATAGTTCATGCTACCAAGGAAATCTTTTTTTAAATCATTTAACATTTCTCTAGTAACATGCTCTGCAATTGGTTGATTAGCTAGTTCTTCCATTGCATCAATGCTGTCATCACTAAAATCTTGCATTATTTCATCAACGTCATTTTCAAATTTGGTCGGTAGAGGTGGACGACCATAACTCCTTCTCTTGCCATTGATCCAATCTCTAAATAGTACGAATATCTTCAAGCTATCTGCTGCTAATGAATATCTATGCTCTCCAATTTGAAATCTTGCTGCACTAAAAGCGCCTTCCGAAGCTACTGAAGATGCTTGAATAGCTAACACATCTCGAGCAACCGGTTGTAGTTTTGGAAATCCTTTGCCGCGATTGCTCCACCATTCTAGAAGATCAATAGTAGT